CGTCAAGATTGGCCAGGACTATCTTCTGCACAACACGACATTGGGCATTCCAGCAATGGTTCAGACGGAAGCTATACATGGCTTGCTCGTCGGTAATGCGACCATCTACAACAGCCCGATTGGGCAAGCATGCTCGTGGGATCCGCAGCTGATACACGACATGGCTGTGGCGATTGCAAAGGAATCGGCTCCTCTCGGTATCAATCAACTGTTCGCTCCACTCGCGGATTTGGCGCGTGAGCTGCGTTTTGGAAGAGTGGAAGAGACATACGGCGAAGATGGTTTTCTGGCCGGCGAAATGGCATACGAATACGTCAAGGGAGTGCAAAGTCTTAATGTTAGCGCCACAGTCAAGCACTTTGCCGGATTCAGTAATCCAGAGCAAGGTCTCAACACCGGACCAGTTCATGGAGGCGAAAGAGAGCTGCGAACTACCTGGCTGCCGCCGTTTCATCGTGCAATCATGGATGCTGGTGCCTGGAACATCATGGGTGCTTATCACTCTTACGACGGAATACCTTCAATCGCGGATGGCCATATGCAAGAAACAATTCTGCGCGAGGAATGGGGTTACAAGTACTGGCTCACTTCGGATGCGGGCGCTACAGACAGGCTGTGCTGCAACTTCAAGCTGTGCCAATGCAAAACAGAAGACACGCCAATCGATAGCGAAGCGGTAACACTCATGGCTCTACCAAACGGCAACGACGTGGAGATGGGTGGAGGCTCATACAACTACGCAAACATCCCTCGTCTGGTCGAAGAAGGCAAGCTAGACATGGAAATCGTCGACCGAGCTGTGAGCCGCCAGCTCCGTGCGAAGTTCGAAATGGGTCTGTTCGAGAACCCATACCAAGGCCTCTCCACGAACGCGACTGAGTCCATCATCCACCCTGAAGAGCATGTGCAGCTTGCGAGGACACTTGAGGCCGACTCCATCGTCTTGCTCGAGAACAAGAACAGGACCTTGCCTCTCTCCAAGTCTGCGAACATTGCTGTCATTGGCCCCATGGCCAACATTACTAACCTTGGAGACTACGTGGTCTACCGCTCTCAGTACAACCCTACCAACGTCACACCATTGCAAGGCATTCAGAGTGCATCTAGTGGCACTGTGACCTACGCCCAAGGGTGCGAGCGCTGGTCAAACGATCAGTCCGGCTTCCCCGATGCCGTCGCGGCGGCCGAGGCTGCAGATGTCGCAGTAGTCGTCGTCGGTACCTGGTCACGCGATCAGCAAGAGCTCTGGCAAGGACTGAATGCCACTACCGGTGAACACGTAGACGTCGCATCACTCAACCTCGTCGGAGCCATGGGCGAGCTCGTCCAAGCCATCATCGAGACCGGCAAACCCACCATCGTCGTATACTCCTCCGGCAAGCCCGTCACCGAACCCTGGATCTCGGACAACGCAGCCGCGCTCCTCCAGCAATTTTACCCCGGTGAGCAAGGCGGCAATGGACTAGCTGACGTCCTCTTCGGCGACGTCACGCCCTCCGGCAAACTCTCCGTCTCTTTCCCTTACGACGTCGGTACCCTGCCAATCTACTACGACTACCTTAACTCCGGGCGGGCCACCGACGCCGGAGCCATCCTACCAAACGGCACCCTCCAATTCGGCCACCAATATGTCCTCAACAGCCCCCAGGCACTCTACGAGTTCGGTTACGGTCTCTCTTACGCAAACTTCACTTACTCCAACGTCACTCTCTCCAAGACCGAAGTCAGCCCGAGCGACACCATCACCGCGATCGTGACCGTAACGAACGAATCTGATGTGGATGGCAAGGAGGTAGTGCAGGTCTATGTTCAAGATGTTTTCGCTAGTGTTGTGGTGCCGAACAAGGAGCTCAAGGGCTTCAAGAAGGTTATGGTCAAGGCTGGTGAGACGGTGGATGTCAGTGTTGAGTTGGACGTGTCGAAATGGGGACTGTGGGATAGGAAGATGCAGTATGTGGTTGAGAAGGGGGATTTTGTTGTGCATGTTGGGGCGAGCTCGATGGATTTGAGGGGGAATGCGACGGTTACTGTTGTTTGAGATTGCATAAGTCATCATCTGCTTGGTCTTGCATCAGAAATAGTAGATGAATCGGCTGATACGAAGACGATTAATGGTGATGCTGTGGTGGTTCGGGTCGAGAAACGGCAGCTTGATTTGGTTGTATCATCACGTGACACCGCGTCACGCGCTAACCTTGGAAGGCACGATGAAGCCACGCTAAGCGTGGTCCGTGCTTTAGCAAACACACGCTTACTCCAGCTCTCCCCTCGTCTCACTTTCGCTCGCTAACATTGCTAGTTGGAGGCCTACATCCTCTACTTTCGTTGTGTTTCTTGGATGGTGGATCGTTCTTTGCATCCCGCGCCACGTTTCAATACCTTTACGCCGCCATAACACTTCTAAGCTTGCGTACGCACAGCTGCGGGTCTTCGTTCTAAGTCATGGTGTTATTCGGCTCTGATGACTTCAACTTTGATGCCAACCCGATCCCGGGTCCCGGTCCATCAGGAAAGCAATTGGAACGGAATGAAAACACCAGCGACTTCGACGAGTCCTCTGATGGCGACAATAATCAACTCGATTTGAACACTGATCTCATTGGCGTTAATCGCACGACGAAGGATCTCAATATCGTGAATACTTACAGGCCACGTTGGACATGTAAAGAAGCCTTCCGTGAGTCTTACCAAAACTGGTGAGTGTATTTGCTGGTGATCTATAGCAGAAACGTCTGACTAGCTGTAGGAGAGACGGCATCCTGAAATCCTTCAACCTGAAGCTATCCCAACTTCGCCCTACGTATGCCGAGAACAAGACAAAACGACTCATACTCATCGAGGCGCATCACCCAGAAACCAAAGAGCTTCTTGGTTTTATACAGTTTAAACACGATAAGGACGGATATTGCGTGGGAGGCCTTAGGATCGTCAACTTCAAAGCCAGTCTCAAGTACCGCAATCTGGGTACTGGTGCGACGACTAAGGCCTATGATGATGGACAAACGGGACAGCATGGAGACGGGATGAAGATCTCCGCTCTTGTTTATCGGCGCAACAACTACAACGTCCGTTATGAGAGCAGTAGTTTCAAGTGGAGATTTCTCTATAAGAAGGGGAGCTTAGCCTGTTCGCTCACGCGCATTAACGAGACGATCTTGAAGCAGATGATGAAGAAGGCGCGGGGTCAGCCGAGGACTCGTAACTCGCATCCGTGGGAAGATGTTTGTTTGATAGTTGGCGCTCCAGGACCTACCCGGGATATATATGGACGCAGGAAACCAGGTGAACGACTCTCGATTACCGATTTCAAGAGATGGATTAACGTCGCACTCGACATTGACCCACCCCAGAATATCATCCACACCAGTCATGGCGATCTCATCCGCGACCCCAAATATCGAGGACACATGTACCTGCGTGGTCTTCGCTTACCGCGCGGCGGTACCAGGGGGAACAACTACAAATACGGCTATAACTTCGTTGAGGGAAGTACTAGCTCGGACCGCGATGCGCTTACGGGCGGAGGAGAAGAGAGTGAAGGAATCTCTGCCATCTGGACAGCTGCTATACGAACAGACCAGTCAACGGACTCAGAACTCGTATCGGACTATACCGAACTGCTTCTGAGTTCTATCAATAAGATGGGCGATGTAATGCTGCATATCGACGACGGAGAGGATGAGCTCATGCCCGGCGATATTGCCAGACAGGTCTGGGCGAAGATGAAGACGCTCAATACGGATGGGGAAGGTCGGGCAGCCTTCTACTATTCGGCTGCTGAGGGGAAAGACGTGAGTTGAAGATATGTACTGGAATGCTCTCGACTAATTCTTGCATCTTAGCAGGTTCACATCATTGAAAAGAGTTTGCGCCAAAATCCCGTACCGATCGACCCTGAGTTATGGAGGATCTTGCGCAAGTATTTCCTTTGCAGAACGCCGAAAGATGAGCTGCTACACCGATTCAAGTCCGCAGAACTTGTTAAATATTCTAGATGGACCCACAATCACTTCGCGTTATACATGCGGCAAATGTTGGAATGTCTGCTGCGGTCTTGTCCAGCAACACAGGCTATGAATCTCAGCTTCGTGAAAGGCGAGCACTTGAATATCGATGCCGGATTCTTTGCGGGTACGTGGAAGGTTCACAACAAGTGGCTTACTTGGGAGGGAGCGCATGATCAAGCCTTCTGCGAAGAAAACCAAAGTTCAGGCGGGGAGCTATTTTCATGCGACCATGCAGTCCTACAACTATGGGATATCATGATCTCTCGGCTCATGGCGAATGGGGAACATCCACAAGTCACTGCTGATGAGCGCTGGCTAAAGAGCATGGCCAGAAGCCGCTTATTGCAGATGCCTCGATCGGTTGAATGTGCCCCAACGGAGAAGAAAGGCGAACTCGTTGTCACGTGGGAATCTATAGACTCACATAGGCACAAGCACAAGACGATCAGAGTTGTCTTGCATCGGATTGAACGCGCACCTGGCCGTATACCGAAAACAGCCGGCGCCTTAATATACCATAGCGGCAAGTATCCTAAGGACAAAGGCTGCCATTGCCAAGCTAACCGCAAACAGATCGGCTTTGCTCGTGTCCCGACATTTCATCGCAAGCTGTTAGCGACGGAGTCACATTTACAGGCCTCAATCCCAGCTTTAGATACGTTCTTTCCGTGTCAAGAGACATTGAGGGGGCTTTCATTGCTCCACTACCGAGACCTGCAAAGCCTCTTGAGAAAGACAATGTTGCTGTACAGATTCTTGGAGCAGATGCTAACAATGTATTACGTAAGTCATTCTGTCCCATCTCCACGATATTCAGAGAGAGTTTAGCTAACACATTCAGCTTCGGTTGAGACTAGTTTAGGCTCTAATGCTGCAGAGCCAGTGCGACCGCAAAGCAACTATCAACCTCCCCATGTCAGCGATGACGACGAAATGGGAGATAACGGATCTCTCTACCAACCACCAAGTATAAGCTCGCCTCTATCGGTTCCAATGGCTCCGCCATCTCCGCCGGCGCCCCCGAGCCCAAAGCCACCACCGATGCGCAGGCAGCCAATACGAGTGAATTTGGCAAAGAAGCTCAAGGAAGATTTGTATGGTTAGTATATCCTGTCTCTGAGGTATTCAGTGTTACGAACTGACAGTTGCAAGCTCTTGGCAACAAAATTGAGCACAAATCGCTTGATTGGGGCGGTAGCTTTCCAGGGAGTCACGACTTCTACCGGACACGCGATAAACCAGACCAAGAGATATACATCTTGAAGCCGAAGGCCGGCACGAAGAAACCGCGCCATAAGAGAGTGCAATCTGGAGCTAAAGAGCGCGGTAGTGCGAAGAAATCGCGAACCGACACTGTGGCTGACCGCGCGGCCCCACCTCCATACATCGTGCTTTCGAGTCCAGAGCCAGAAGACGATGTCGACACACCCGACCCTCAGGAAAGCCGTGCTGTCCGCAGTGGGATGACGGGTGTGACCCCACTACCAGAGAGAGGCATAGTGTATCGGTACTGAGCGAGCAATACGATGGCAACATTTGGACATCTGGCAAAACAGCTGCCCAATGATCATGCAAGATCTCCTATTGGGCACTCAATGGACGGCTCTTGCACTAGATCGGTTAATGTACCGTGTCCACGCGAAGCAGACTCGCGACGCCATCCTGCAGGGCCATTGGGCTACGCTGTCAATCCTAGTCTACCCGCTCTACATCGAGCTTAAATTCGCGTATAAGCCTAAGGTACTCAAAAGCTTCTAGTCGACGTTCTAGTCGAAGTATTAGTCGTCTTGAGCCTGGTTGTGGTTGGCTTGTTGGCCCCTGATGCGCTGGCGCCCCTTGTCACTGGTAGGGACGCTCACAGTTCTCTACAGCTTTCCGAAACTTGCATGCATGGTACGAGTCTCATGTAACATGGATGAATATATACCTTGCATGAAAACTGAGTTGTTGTGCAGTTCGCATGGAAGCGATAGGTTCGATGGTGCCGCTTGCTAGGTGACGCATGATGCTAGCACACTACGACTCAAGCACTTCATATCCGTGGAACATGCAGGGCTATATACTAGAAGTATCGCGAATAGTATGTCCACAGTGATGCTGTTCCAAAGAAAGCCCAAGCTCGCGGTGGCTGCCGAGCTTGACGCAGCACCACGTGGCGACTACCTAAACGTATATCCTGGACTGACCAGGACAGGCTACATATGATATCTCTCATCCTTTTTCTCTCCTAAAATTACAAGATTTCAACATCTCATCGTGGTGTCGGTCTGTACTTCAGATTCACTCATCGCGCTGCATAGCTGAATTGGGTTAGCACGCTACGGCCGCCATCTCGCTTAGATGCGGCGACCTTTCCAACGGCCACGATAATCGGAACCGTCGGTGACGACTGCGCAACGCTTCAGACGTCGATATCAGCAGATAGGCAGACGATTAATCACGAGCCATGTCCAATTGGAGCCATGGCAGCCGGCGCAGAAAGCATCGGGAAAAGCGACGGAGCTTGCCCGTCGCAAAATCTTGCTCGATGAGGAAACAACCTCCACGAATGCCCCGCGCCTAGTCTACAGCGACCACAACGACATGGCCGCTTTCGGCCCACTATATTCACTAGCCGATTGCGATGCGAGTGATGGTAGTAGTGCGTGATGATATAAATACGCAATGCGATGGTCTTGGATGGTCATCGCTGCATCAAACCTCTCCCACTTCTATGCTCTGCGACGATAAGCCCTGGTTACTGAACAACATGTCGTCCAGCAAGCCCTCATACCTCGTCGTTGGCGCCGGCGTCTTCGGCATCTCAACTGCTTACCACCTTATCAAGAAGTACCCAGACCGACAAGTTACCGTTGTCGACCAGGATGCTTGGGACGCCGATAACCGCGTAGCAGCTTCATGGGACTGGAACAAGGTCGTGCGCGCCGACTACGACGATGTCATCTACTGCAGACTCGCGCTTGAGGCGCAAGATGTTTTCAAGGAGGATCCATTATGGCAGCCATACTTCCACGAGACTGGTATCTTCTGGGTTTGCCGTTCAGATTACGCACAAGAAGTCATCGACAACTACAAGAAGCTTGGACGCGAAGCAGACCTGCAGTCAGTCACTATTGAGGAGGCGAAGAAGTTGTTCGGCGGACTTTTTGAGGATGCGAACTACGATGGCGCAAAGAGTGTACTCGTCAACAAGACGAGTGGCTGGGCACAGGCTGGCGATGCGCTAAGAGCAGTTACCAAGTGGTCGATCGCAAAGGGCGTCAAGTACATCACCGAGAAAGTCAAAGACCTAGATATCGACAGCACTGGTCGATGCACAGGCGTCAATACCGAGCAAGGCAGCACCATCAAAGCCACCCATACCATCCTCTCAACCGGCGCCTACACCGCTAAGCTCCTCGAGCAAGCCGCCCAAAAAAGCGGCAACCCCAACCTCCGTTCTGGCTCAAGAATTGTCGCTGGTGGTATCACGACCGGCATGACGACTCTAGACGAGAAATCGTACGAGAAGTTCAAGGACATGCCCGTTGGTGTCCAGGGCTACACCGCCGCATACGGACCCTTCATCGGCAGCTTACCGCCTACCAAGGACCGCGAGCTCAAGTGGTGGGGCGAGAAGATCTTCAAGCATACACATGAGGTACTACCCGGTCGCTTCGTTTCTGCGCCGCCGTCTGGAAAGGATTATAACCAGTGGGACGTGCCTGGTCCGTTGAAGCTGGACATCGATCACGCGAATGATGTGTTTTATGGGAAGAAGGGCGCGAATTGGAAGATGGAAAAGCATCGCATTTGCTGGTAAGTTCTACACGCCCATCTCTCCTGTTCGATCAGTGCTAACATCACTCAGGGACGCATTCACGACCTCTTCCGACTTCATCATCTCGCCGCACGCCGGTGCCAAGGGTCTCTATGTCGCCACATGCGGCTCCTTCCACGGCTACAAGTTCTTCCCCGTTCTCGGCAAATACGTCGTGCAGATGTTGGAAGACGAGCTGGAACCAGCGCTCAAGGAGAAGTGGGCATGGGATCGCGAGAGGCCGGCGCCTAGCCTCAACCCCGACTGGCCTAGGTTCGAAATGACGGATTTGATGGACCAGTGGCCAAAGGCCAAGTTGTAAGATGTATCAAGAGGGTTTTGATGAAGTTAATGAGTGGATGTTGCATATTTGCATGGCGCCTGGGTTGGCGTTTACATTTCTTTTACATAGCGGATGTTATGAATAACAGTCCTACTTTTCCACCTTGCAATCCCATCGCCGTATTCCAGCCTTCTCCTCAAGTTCCACCTCGATCTCATCGACCCACTCATTCATCTCTTCCAGATATGCCGTGATCTTGCTCATACAGCGTTTGAAGTGTCGCTTTTGCTCCTCGTCGAGCGTTCTGAACTTATCTTTACCCCACGTACCCAGGTAAACAAACTTCATATCTTTTAGCGGGCTCATCACGTTTCCGGTAAGACAGTCCATTCTTTCGGCTTCGGTGGTGAGGGAAAAGAACGGATCGATGAAGCAGCCATGAAAGTAGAGTTTTTCCAGAGGACCGGGGCCGCACATCTTGGGTGTTTAGAGGAGATTACGACGAGGGAATGATGTCTGAGTTGGGGAAGACAAAAGGGCGCGAATGGATTTTAACTTGGACAAACACTCGTGCAGCCACCATATGGCGCTTTCTCACATTGTTAGAGCGCAAACATTCGGTCATGAAAGGGTACATATGCTTGCGTACTAGAAGATGCGAGCAAACACACATCATATATACTGCGAGCGAACGTACCAAAGCCACCCATCACCGTCTACTTCACAATGTCCTCTCCCATAACTGGAAATGACCCCAAAACTTTCACAGATAACTTCGAAATCGAGGAGCTCTACAAAGCAGTCCTTAGGTTCCAGCGCATATACCTCGGTAGAGATGCTAATGGCAGCATGATCAAGACATCCGACCGAGCGAAACATCCCACTCTAAGCGCGGGTAACAAGAGCCTTTTCAAAATAACTGCGGCACATATGCAGAATGTTCTGAATTGGAGTAGAGAGATTGGTTTGTACATGAATGTTGAAGAGGCTGGTGATATTGGGAAACAAAGTCTACCTGATCTGCCTGGTTGGGTGTTGGGAGAAGAAATCAAGAAAAGCAAGCACGGTGACAATTGGTTGCAGTGGAGTAAATAATCCATCATGATGAAGCAATCAAATGCTCAATTAAGTCATTTTGACATTATCGTAAAGCTCATCTTCGAGCAAAGTAACCGGGATCGTAAGAAGAGAAACCCCCCAGCAGCACGCTTAGTTACCGACCTGAATCGCGTAGCCGCCGTCAACGGTAACAGTCTGACCGTTAAGATACTGGCAACCAACAGCAAACAAGATAGCCGCAGCCATATCCTGATCCTTTCCAGGCCTCTGCGCAGGAAGACCCTCCTTGTGCTCCTTGGGCATCTCACTCTTCTGGTTGTCGTCTCTGCTCTCTTGGGTCGTCATCTCTGAAGGGAAGACACCCGGCGCAATCGAGTTAACCCTGACCTTGATCCCGTTCTTCGCAATCTCGCTCGCGAGCAACTTGTTGAGGTGTATCGCAGCGCCTTTGCTGGAGTTGTACGCGAAGTGACCTTGCGAGATCTTGATGTGACCGGAGATGGAGGAGATGTTGATGATGGTGCCGGAGTAGCCTGGGTGTGTCTCGGTGGACTTTTGGAGGAGAGGGAGGAAGGCGGTGGACATGAGGAAGGGGCCGACGACGTTGGTCTGGTAGACGTCGAGCCATTCTTTCTCGGTTGTGCCATCGAAGAGCTTAGAGACGAGATCTTCGGCGGAGCCTTTTACTTCGGTCTTGCCGGGGGCGATGCCGGCGTTGTTGACTGGAGGTCTTAGTTGGCGTTGTAGGAGATAGTAATGGGTAGTGGAGAGCTTACCAAGCACGCATAGACACTTCTCTTTTGATTCGATCTCCTTCTTGATCTTACTGTGAGGTGGTTAGACGCCGTTCTCGATCGAACAGCACGGGTGACTTACGATACGCCGTCCTTGGTGCTGCAGTCTCCGACAATGGGAATGATCTAGTGACTGTTAGTCTACATTCCTGATTTTGATCATGTCGAAGACTCACCTGTCCTGAAATGTTCTGGCCATGCACCTCAACTACCTTCTCGAGCTTCTCCTCCGTCCGTCCAACAATGTAAACCTTAGCACCGTTGACAGCGAGAGTCTGTGTGATCATGAGACCAATTCCAGAGCCACCACCGGTGACTAGAACGACCTTGTCCTTGACATCAAAGACCTGGCCCATTTGGAGTTCGGCATTGTTGGTAGGAGCCATGTTTGCGTAATTGCGCTGTTGATTCTGCGGTTGGAATTGATTTGTGATTTGTTTCGTGCGTTCAATTGATTGCATGCGATTTGAGAGTGCAGAGATTGAAGAGGGGAGAGGTCGTGCTGCAGATGTTGTGATATAGCGGGTAAACGGTCTGACGTCACGGTATGAGCACCGCGTTGCAAAGCGCGTCAAGGTG